GTCCTGGAACTCACTCTGTAGACCAGGCTGGCCTCGAACTCAGAAATCCGCCTGCCTCTGCCTCCCAAGTGCTGGGATTAAAGGCGTGCGCCACCACCGCCTGGTTTAGATTCTCTTACTCTTTCCCCTTAAAGGGCCAATTGATGGATTTTGCACATACCACTTCCAGCCTGACTTCTTTGCTTCCCATTGACAGTGGCTCCGAACACCAACTGCCCAAGCAACAATTGAGAAGCCAGAGAGGGATTGTGCATGTTGAAGATGTTTCCAGAACTCTGGAGGGCTTCCATTCCAGACTCTTATTACCACTATCCTTGGTAAATTACCAAGGGTTCCTACTGCCACAGGATCAAAATATCATCCAATCTACCTGCTCTGTACTAGTTTCTCTCCTTGACACCATGATAAAAGCACCCGACAAAAGCAACTTAAGGATGTAAGGGTTTGTTCTGGCTCGTGGTTTGAGGGGATCCAGTCCATCATGGCGGGGCGGGGCGGGGGAAGCATGGCGGCAGGAGTGTGAGGTGGCTGCTCACATTGAGTCCACGGGCAGGAAGCAGAGAGAGATGGACGCTGGTACTCAGCTTGCTTCCTCCTTTTTATTCAGTCCAGTACCCTAGACCACTGGATGGTACTACTCACAGTTAGGGTGGGTCTTCACACCTCGGTTAATGAAATCTAGCAACATGCAGGTCCAGAAGATTGTTTCTGCAGTGATTATGGACCCTGTCAAGTTGACAAGATTAACTATTATGTTTCCTATGTATGAGCATAACCTGTCCAGTACATTCTGGAGACGGGTTATCTTAAGGCTGAAAACATTTCCTGACAGGGAGTTGACAAAGCCCAGAACTTAGGTAATGTTTCTTACTGCCCAGCCCTCCACGGTACTAAGGCGCCTTCAATTCATCAGCAATAAGTACCCACCAAAGATCACTCATAAGCAGCAGCCCTGATATTATCACGGTGTTATCTGCCTGGAATCTTAGCACTAGAAAGAATGATGAAGAAATCAAAAGTAAAAGTCCAGCCTGGGCTACACAGGGCAGCCTGAGCTATAAACTAAGCACATGTATAAAAAAAAAACCTGTGTGTGAGTGTGTGTGAGTGTGTGTGAGTGTGTGTGTGTGTATGTGTGTTTGTGTGTGTGTGTGTGTTATGATTCAACATGAAATGTCTCCCACAGACTAATGCATTTGAACATTCGATCCCCAGCTGATGATGCCCAGATGACACCTAACTGTTTAGGGAGGGTTGTAGAGACTTTCCAGCATGGTATATACATGGTAGATGGAGGCACTTGAGGTGAGCCCTGGGGGTGAGCCTTGGGGTTTGTAGCCCAGCCCCACTCTGGTCCCAGCTTTTGTGTCTCCTGATTTACCACAGGAGGTGTCACCACCATCTACTTCTGTCCTTATGAATTCCACCCAGTCCTCCCTACCATGATGGACGGATGCCGTGAGCTGAGATAAAACCTTGTCTCTTTAAGAAGCTTCTATCTGGTATTTTGTCACAATCACCAGAAAAGTAATACAGTAAAGGAAGACTCCAATGATCAATGTGCCTCCTTCAAGCTGGTGACTATACCTGGGAGAGGGAGACCAACTGCTCTATTGACAGCAGCATCTCAGTGTACTCAGGCACTCAGGCTGTCCCCCCACCTTTGGAGAAACAATTAACTGTCCTGGATAAGACATATATATATCTCAGAACTAAATAGATATTGCTGAAAAGTTTTTAGTTGGAGTTTCATTTTTAAAACGAATCCTGATTTTTCTTAGACTCAGTTTCCCAGTGAAAGTGGGCAGTGAAAGGCCTGAAACGGGCACTGGAAAAAGAGTTTATCAGTGAAAAGTGCGTCCCACTCTTAAAGAGGATGTGAGTTTGGTTCTCAGCACCCTCCTCGGCCGCTCACCACCCCTGTAACTCCAGCTGCAGAGGGTCCCACGCCCTCTTCTGGCATCTAAGCATCCTGCATATGTGTGAATTTCCCTCACCCCACCCACAGAATAAAAAATGCACAATTCTTAACAGGCCTTGAGAGAACAATTCTCAACTTCATACGAAAACAAACACCCAGGACAACAAAAACAATCCTGTACAATAAAAAAAAAAAAACACAAAAAAAAACCTTCTGGAGGTATCACCATCCCAGATCACAAGCTATACTACAGAGCAATATTAATAAAAATAACTGCATGATATTGGTACAGAAACAGAGACAGGTTGACCAACGGAATTGAATCAAAGACCCTGGAATAAACTATTGCACCTACAGACACTTGATTTTCAACAAAAAAGCTGAAACCATACATTGGGGAATAAAAAAGAAAGCATCTTCAACAAATGGTGCTGGCCTAACTGGCAGTCTGCTGTGTAGAAGAATGCAAATAGACCCATACTTATCACCCTGCACAAAACTCAAGTCTAAGTGGATCAAAGACCTCAACATAAAACCAGACACACTAAATCTATCAGAACAGAAAAATGAGGACTAGCCTTGAAAGCATTAGCAAACGAGACAACTTCCTGAACAGATCATCAATGGATCAGACTCTAAGATCAACAATTGATAAATGGGACCTCATAAAACTGAAAAGCTTCTACACTGTCAATGGGACAATACAGCAGTCTACAGATTGGGAAGAGAACTTCACCAACCCTACATCCTACAGAGGGCTAATATCCAAAATGTATAAAGAACTCAAGAAGTTAGACACCACCAAACCAAATAACCCAATGTAATAATGGGGTACAGAGTTAAACAGAGAATTCTCAACAGAGAAATCTCCAATGGACAAGAAGCACTTCAAGAAATGTTCAATGTCCTTAGTCATAAGAGAAATGCAAATCAAAATGACTCTGAGATCCCATCTTATGCCTATCAGAATGGCTAAGATCAAAAACTCAAGTGACAGCACATGCTGGCAAGGATATGGAGCAAGGGGAACACTCCTCCATTGCTGGTGGGAGTGCAAACTTGTGTGACCACTTTGGAAATCAATTTGGTGGTCTCTCCGAAAATTGGGAATAGTTCTACCTCAAGACTCAGCTATAGCACTCTTGGCCATATACCCAAAAGATATCCCATTATACCACAGAGACACTTGCTCAACCATGTTCATAGCACCTTAATTCATGATAGCCAGAAACTGGAAAACAACCTCAATGTCCCTTAATTGAAGAATGGATACAGAAAATGCAGTACATCTACACAATGAGATACTATTCAGTTATTAAAAACAAAGGCATCATGAAATTTGCAGGCAAATGGATGGAACTTGAGACTATCATCCTGAGTGAGGTAACTCAGACCCAGAAAGACATGCATGGTATGTACTCACTTACAATTGGACATCAGCCATAAAGTGTAAGACATGCTACAATCCACAGACCCAAAGCAGCTGGGTAATAAGGTCTCAAGGGAAGATGTTTGAATCTCACTCAAAAGGGGAAACAAAATAGTCATTAGAAGTGGAGAGAGAGGGAACAGGGTGGGAGAGGGGGTGAGGAGGGGTATGGGGATGTAGATCAGGTGTGAGGCGGGGGGCGGGTAAGAGAGGCCTGGGAGTGGAATGGAAATTGGAGGGGGCACAGCTCTGGGACCAATGGGAGACCTGGGACGAGGGAGGCTTCAGAGAGTCTATGAGGGAGCCCTTAGCTGAGATTCCTACACTGAGGGATATGAAGGCTGAAGTGACCACCTCCTATAGCCAGGCTGGTGGAAGGAGGAGGACACTGACCCATCCACAAAAACTTCCAACACAAAATTTGTTCAGCCTACAAGATGCACAGGGATAAAGATGGAGAAGAGACTGAGGGAACAGCCAACCAATGACTGGCCCAACTTGAGACCCATCCCATGGGAGAGAGCCAACCCCTGACACGATTAATGATATTCTGCTATGCTTGCAGACAGGAGCCTAGCATAACTGTTTCCTGAGAGGCTTTGTCCAGCAGCTGATGGAAACAGATGCAGAGACCCATGGCCAACATCAGGAGGAGCTCAGAAGACAAGTGGGGGATAGAAGTGAACAAACCAGAGGGTCAAGGACACCACAAAAAGACCTACAGAGTCAACTACTTGGGCCCATGGGGGCTCACAGAGACTGAACCACCAACCAAATAGCACACAGATGTGGGACCTAAACACCGCCCCCCACATTTGTAGCAGATGAGCAGCTCGGTCTTCATGTGGGTCCCCTAATAATTGGAACAGGGGCTGTCTCTGACTCTGTTGCCTGCCATTGGATCCCCTTCCCTACCTGGACTGTGTGGATGGGCCTCATTGGGAAAGGAGATGCTTAGTCCTGCTATGACTAGATGTCCCAGGGTAGGTTGGTACCCAATGGGGGGGGGTAAGGGGGGAGATAACCGAGGAGAAGAATTTGTAAGTGCAGAACTGGGAGGAGAGGAGAGGGGGTTGTGATTGGGATGCAATGTGAATAACAATAAATTATGGAAAGAAAGAAAAAAGACTTAGTAGAAACTGACTAAATTTAAGTCAAGGAGAGATACGTCTTTACATCCGAATACATAAAATAAATACCTTTTGTTTTGAAAACAAATCTCTCCCTAAAACAGGGATGGGTTTAGCAGAAAACATGAGTCATTATCTTGTTAAAACATACAGTTTGGGATCTGGTAAGATGTCTGAGGAGGTTAAGGTACTTGCCAACAAGCCTGATGATCTGAGTTTGAGTCCCAGAACCCACACGGTGGAAAAAAGACCATCTGAACGTCGTCCTCAAATTCCACACGCGCTCCGTGTCACAAGTGTCACCCCCACACACAAAACACATCAATAAATATCTTTTTTAAAAAAACCCTTTGAAATATGTTCATACATGATTTTATGTGACTGTATAAAATCTAGGAAGCCCAAATGAGGTAGGACTCGCTGGCTGTCTCTCTGAGGCTGGCTGAGTTCACTTAATGTGATTATTCTCCATTGTACGGGTGGGCTACAAAATGAATGAATGAATAAATAAATAACTCACCAATCTTCTGAATGGAACGTTCCTTATAAGACAGCTTCTGCTCCTTGCTCTATGACAGCTATCAAATAAAAAAATAAATAAATTTACAGGTGAACACAAACATATCCACAATGCTAATAGAATTCAAATCAGTAGAATTAATTTCACCTGCCTGCATGGTGGCTCTCTGAAAGCAGTTGCTGCTTATACCATGAATGTGATAGCAACCAATAGCACCAGAGTTTCCTCAATGCCTCATGAAAAGGGCTCTCCCCCCCCCCCCAAACTTTTCCACAATGTTTTGAACATATATATATTGAGGGCCTACTATCTGTCTAGCACATGGGGAAGGAAGATACATAGACGTGTTACTTAATTGAAAAGGATAAATTTTCATATTGCACCATTCAGGGGAAAAAAATCTTAGAGAGAGAGAGACAGACAAAGACAAGTAAAGCCTTGGCTGCAGGGTGCATTTAAGACCAGCCTGGACGACTCAGTGAGACTCTGTTGACATCAAAAGAAAAAGAAAGAAGAGGGTTGGAGATGGAACTCGGTGGTAGAGTACTTGGTCTGTGGGAAGTTTTCAAGTCCATCCCTAACACTGGAGGAAAGAAAGGAAGGGAGGAGAGGGCAGAGGAGAGGAGAGAAAAGGAGAAAGGGGGAAGGGAGGAGAGGAAGAGAAACGTGTAAGAGAATAGGGAAAGGAAAAGAGGAGAAGCTAAGGGAGAAATAAGAGGAAGTGGGGCAGATGAAGCAGCCTGGGAAAAGCCAACTTCCTTCCCAGGGCTAAACTACCAAGGCGGAAAGGTTCGCCCCCCCCCCCCCCCGTAGGCTACTCCTGTTACTTTCAACCACTTCGCTAAAGACCCACTAGCAGCATAAGCTGAGCACAGGACCCGGTGCTGAGTCTGGCTCCGATGTGGGATGCAATTTGGAGGGTGCCAAGGACTATGGTGCAGTGTAAGATGACAAGTCGGCACTCAGCCTTCCTTCCTGGGGGCTCTCCTCAGAAGCCAGAGGACCATTTTCCAGGAGAAATGCTTGCTGAGAGCTGGGTATGAGGCCGCCAAGGAAGATCTAAGAGTGGGTCTCTGGAGCCCCCTGCTGGCACCTGAATTTGATTTCTGTGGCTTCCTTTCCTTTTAACTTCTGAGCGTCCCTCTGGTCCCTGGATTCAAACTTTTTATTTTCCTGCCTCACCCTTCTGAATAGGAGCATGGGACTAGACACAGCTCTTTTCAATTTATTCACTATCTTAGTTAGGATTTCATTGCTGTGAACAGACACCATGACCAAGGCAACTCTTTAAAAGGACAACATTTAATTGGGGCTGGCTTACAGTTTCAGAAGTTCAATCCACACAAAGGCCAAAAAAGTGCTGGAGGAGCAGCGAGTTCTACATCTTTATCTCAAGGAAGCCAGAAGACTCTCTTCCGCCTTGGGTGGAGCTTGAGCCCAGGAGCCCTCAAGGCCCGCCTACACAATGACACACTTCCTCCAACAAGGCCACACCTCCTAATAGTGCCCCTTCCCATAGGCCACACATATTCAAACCACATTTATTCACTCATTTTTAGTTTCTGTGAACTGAAGTTCACTGAGGAAGCTGCCTCTGTGTCGAAGATCCTGCAGGCCGACTGACTCATGAGAACTTTGTGGCTGTGGAGAGTTGTAACATTGCAAGTTAAGAACGAAAATTGTCTGGAGTTGTTCTCAGAGAAAGCATGATGGCTGTGATGTTTGCTGGAGGGAGTCCTCCTGGATGGCATGGGTTTGGGAAGAAGGTGATCTGTGGAGAACAGAACCATGTTGTACCTTGGTCTTAGACTCTGACTGGGCTGACCTTGGACCTCTGGGCATTTATGGGAACCTTCCAAGCATAAGTGTGTGTGTGTGTGTGTGTGTGTGTGTGTGTGTGTGTGTACACATGTTTATAGGCATGTGTGTGCATATGTGTGGAGGCCAGAGGTTGGTAGCAAGTGTCTTCCTCTATTGCTGTCTATCTTACAGTTTCAATGTGCATGTATGTTATGTGTGCACGTTTATGCTATATATGTGTATATGTGCATGTGTTGTATATACATGTGTGTGTATGTGTTGTATGCTCATGTATGTGTGTATGTGTGCTGGCGTATGCATAAAGATCCAGTGGAAGATGTCGGGTGTCCTTCTCTGTCACGCTCTGCCTTCTGTTCTTCTTAAGACAGGATCTCTCACTGTGTGATCTTGACTCTCACTAGAGTGAAGCCAGCAGCCAGCAAGCCCCAATGATCTCCTTGTCTCTGCTCCCACAACACTGGGGCTATGAGTGGGCACATCAGGCTTTTTCTGTAGGTGCTGGTATCTGAACTCAGGGCCTCATGCTTGTACAGCAAGATAGCTTACCCACTGAGCCATATCTGCAGCCCCTCCGACATACTTGAGTTAGTTAGGTTAAGCTGACTGGCCAGTGTGTCCCAGGGATCCTCCTCCCTCTGTACCTCTGACTCCAGGGATGAGGTTTCAAGTATAGGCTACTGTATGTGGATGCTGGGGACAACTCACATCCTCATATTCACACAGTAGGCACTTTACCAACAGCCATCTCTCCAGGTATTGTCAAACATTTTTAATCTTTTCCATACCCAGACCCTTTGGAAGTCTGTTGAACTCTATAAAGCACCTTCTTAGAAAAGCATTTTAGACATGTATAAAATAAGTACACAAAATACATATTTTCATTTAAAAAATGCCTATAGACCCTTTCTCAGAAAACAACATTTTAGATATTGCATAAGTTTACATGAAAACACCTAAGGCCTGGAGAGATGGTTCAGTGGTTAGGAGCAGGTGCTGTTCTTGCAGAAAACCCGAGTTCCATTCCCCACCCCACATCTGACATTTCACAACACCCTGCATCTCCAGCTCCACGGGGATGCTATGCCTCTGGCCTCCACGAGCACCCAAACTCATCCCCACAAACAGACATAAGCACAATTAAAAATAAAAATAAATCTAGCCAGTCATGGTGGTACGTGAGTTTAATCCTAGCGTTCTGCATCAGAGGCAGGTGGATATCTTGAGTTTGAGGCCAACCTGGTCTACATAGTGAGTTTCAGGACAGCCAGGGCTACAGAGAAAGACTTTGTCTCAAGATGATGATGATGATGATGATGACAAAATAAATCTAAAAAAAGAAACCCACACACAATATAGATGGTATATTTTTTATCATATAAAGAAAGTTATATGAAGTCACACAGGGGCTGGAGAGATGGCTCAGTGACTAAGAACACATGCTACCCTTCCAGAGGACCCAAGTTGGGGTCCAGCACCCACATCAGGCTGCTCACAATTGCCTGTAACTTCAGCACTCTCCTGGTGTCCATGGGTACCTGCACTCATATGAAAAAAAATCTCCCACAAAGACACATAAATAAAATCAATCTTTAACTTTTGAAAACAAACCCTTTTTTTTCTTACTGTATGTGTGTAGGTGTGTGCAGGCCAGACTATCATATGAGATCAGAGGGCAATCTCCAGGAGTCCGTTCTCTCTCTTTCCACCTTTATATCGATTCCAGGGATTACATTCTGGCTTAACCTGCTAAGCCATGGCCCCAGGGCCAGCAGACAAAGTGGAAAGAATGCTATGCCAAACCAGCTGTGAGCATTTGAATCTGAAATGTCCACCACAGCTCGTGTGTTGTATATATGTTTTCCAGCAGGTGGCGCTCTTCTAGCAAGCGATGGCGCCTCTGGTCTGGTGGTTCTCAACCTTCTGAATGCTTTGATCCTTTAATACAGCTCCTCATGTGGTGGTGACCCCCAACCACGACATTATTTCTTTACTATCTCATAACTGTAATTTTGCTACTGTTATGTATCTGAATGTAAATATCCGATACGGAACCCCCAAAGGGTGGACATCTATAGGTTGAGAACCACTGCTTTAGGAGGTGGGGCTTGGTTTTACTGTGGGGCGGGCCTTCGAAGGTCATTTCCTGGCTTCAGATTCTAACTTCCTGAACCCCCCACAGTGTGAACAGCTGTATAACATGCTTCCACCACTGAGCATGAGCACCTCCGCGGTACTTTGTCCTCCATGATGGCTTAGAATCCTTTGAAATCAGGACTGATGTAAACCCTTCCGCTCTTAAGACATTTCAGTCCAGGCCACTTTGTGTGATTGAGGGAGACATTAGATGTCAACTTTTGGCCTCTATATATGTGCGCGTGCACGAGCAGACAGACACACACACACACATACACAGGGCTCCACAAGTAGAAGGGGGACAATTTGAAAGGAACAAGTGAGATTCAGGGATGGGACAGGCGTGGGTCACGTGACAGAGTGCTGGCAATTGTCTAGTGTATCACTGAGCTTGTTCCTTGGTGCAAACAAAGAATGAGATGACCAGGAAAGACGGGACCAAGCCACACAGAGAGGGAAAGTTACAGTTTTATCCCTTCAGGGTAGAAGTCTCCTAAACTGACACTGGCTCAGGTATTTCACAGGTCCCCTGAGTTCCTCCTTCCTCTTGTTCCTGCTTAGACACCGTCCCTGTGGCTTCCTGCCACTTTCTCCCCACAATGCCTTTGGGGAACAAGAAGCGGCCATCTCAGGAGGCCTGTTTATGATTTCCCTGTCTACACATGTCCCTCTAAGCCTCCATCTGAACGGAGGTAAAAATGATCAAAATCCACGTTTTTCATGTCATGATGAAGCCTGGTATTTTGTACAGATGACAAACACCAGTTTAAGGCCACTAAGGAGGAGAGTTACCTCTGTGACACACGACTTCCATGCTACGTTTGTCTTACTCACTTCAGTATTACACTCCCTTAGTCTTATATGTGCGGGCTTTCCATTAGAACACCGTTCTGGGATCTTAGACATGCATGTAGACAGTTTTTCTGTAACAGGTAGGGTTTTGGTTGGTTGGTTGGTTGACTGCTTGCTTGCTTGCCTGCTTGGTATGTTTTGGCTGTAAAGGATTCTGAGCCAGACAGATCAGAGAACCTGAATGCTTGAGCCATGTTGGAGGGAGTGTAGTAATTGTTCCCACTGTCCTCATACCTGCTCTTCCTAAACCAGAGCGGCCTTTGTTCTGGACAGAATTGACACTCTGTAGCTCTTAAGACCCATCTGCTGGGGGCTGGAGAGATTGCTTAGCGGTTGAGAGCACTGACTGCTCTTCTGAAGGTCATGAGTTTGGATCTCAGCAACCACATGGTGGCTCACAATCACCCATAATGAGATCTGATGCCCTTTTAGGGTGTCTGAGGACAGCAACAGTGTACTTACATATTATAAATAAGTAAAAAAAAAAAAAAAAAAAAAAGACCCATCTGCCCCAGAGTGACTGCACTTCCACCCCAGCTTGAGCTCTGACTTTCTACCTGTCTGCAGCTATACGTTTCCTAAACTAAATGCTAAGTGAAAAAAGAACCCAGGGCTAGACAATTCCACCTTGTCCTCACCCCCAACCTCCTTTCAAGCAGGACAATGCATCTTTTGTCCACTAGATGTCACTGCTGTGTCATTTATCCCTGGAACGAAGAGCCTTTTCGATCTACAGTTTAAGGCCAGTCTGAGTGACAAATTGAGCCCATTCCCCAACACACACATACACACACACACACACACACACACACACACACACACACACACGGAAGGTTGACCATTCATGAGCCTGGGGTTGATTAGAGCGCTGGGCAGAGTGAGCAAGGGAGTAGAGTTAATCCTTTGAAGTTCCCTTGAGTGTCCTGCGGAGGGAGGGGAAAGGCGTCTTGCCTAAAGAAAATGAGTGGGAACACCATCTAACTAGCCTGAGAGACTTTCTTGTATTTCTGGTTGAAGCAGTTAGGTAAAATGGTCCTGAGGGTATTCCCCCGATAAGGGGGGGATCCCCAGTAAGGGAACAAGCCCCTTTACTGTGTGGCAAGTCTTCTTCTTTTGGGGTCCTCTGTCTGGAAATGTTACGGTAAGGATAATGGTGAGGACTGGCAGATGAGACTAGGCTCCCGTGAGAGCTGTGGAAACAGAAAGACTCGAGGGTTGGGGGCGTCATCTGTGAGACTCCTTACGGCAGCTAGAGGGGCTGTGACCTACTGTGGCCTGTGGCTAAGACCAGCTGTCTGGAAAGTCCGTCAGACCCATCAGTTCCACCTACCAGAGTGAAAAGCAAACATAGTCTCCTGGAGTTTGGTTTCCTTGAGACACTGAGGCTGAGACAAAAATTCAGGCCACATGGTTTATTCAGAACAAAGATAAAAGGAGGGAACGGTGATAGAGAAGGCGCCCAGTGGCCACGGTGGATAACTTGGGTCTCATTCCTTAGGGACATCCCTATTGGAGCTGGGGCTCCCCATTTCAGCTATAACCCCTGGACAGTGAACCCCAGGAACCTTGCTGTCCCCAACCT